AACATCAAGGGTAAACTTGCAATGTAAAGATGATGAAGATCATGCTTCCTCTTATGAATTGGGCCCAGATATATCTGTCAGCAATTCACCTTTTAGGTCCCTCCAACGTCCTAGTAGATTTCCTCAGCAGACACCAGATACAAACAGGAAAATTGTAAGTGGCGAAATGGGCGTTTTTGATGATTGTGGAAAGATGTGGAGTTCCAGATGTAGACATCAAAGTCCTTCAAGAACAGATAAGTAGACAGCTTCCTCTCCAGGACTCCTCTCCCTCAAGCAGAGGGATAGGATGTTCTTACCTGCTTTTTAATTTTTAAAAGTGGATATGTTTTTCCTCTGATCCCTTTGGTCTTCAGACTGCTCATGAGAATACAGAGGGAACAAGTGGAAGTCTGGCCGAGGAGGCTTTGAGTCTTGCTATCTCTCGATAGATAGACATCCCATTGCATCTTCCAGCAAAACCAGACTTTCTGTTTCAAGGCCTTCTGTTGCATCCAGCTCTCAGGTATTGTATTGGTTGAGGATCAGGTGTGCACACCGACGACCCCCGACAAGGCATCAGAAGTGGACTATGGTATATCAGGGAGCCATGGGTGGAGAGGTGTTGGTCTACAACCCCCATGGGCAGGTCAGTGAGGGCAGCAATGGGAGCCTCTCAGGCAGTAGATTGCAGGAAGTGTAACAAGGGGTCCCAGGTGAGGGTTTAAAGACCGTATGTATGTGGTAGGGAATATGTTATTTCATCCATGTGTCTCATAGATGCTACTTTTTGAATCCATTCCCTGATTGAAGGGGCTGTGGACTTCTTCCAACAAAGTGGTATAAGTAAGTTAGCTGTGGTGAGGAGGTGATTGAGTAAGATACGAGGCATAGCAATAGGCGTAGGATATAAGAGTAATAGCATAGATTTGGGTGTTTTTGGGATGTGTAGACCTGTGATCGTGTGGGTGAGTGATCCGATTCTATCACAGAACCCCTGTATCATGGAGCAAAGCCACCAGATATGGCCTGGTGTGCCTCTAGAGTAGAAGAATCTCCTGCATGTGCCAGACGTTCCAGGGAAGAACCGGTGTAGTCGTGTAGGAGTCTAATGCCATCTTGAGAGTCTTTTGTAGTTTTCTTCGTGGTTGCTATTGTTAATGGATGATTTGAAGAGATTGGAGGAGATTCACTTTCAATCCATCTCAGTTATGGAGAGGTTGAGTTCTTCCTCCCACAGTAGTGTAATGTGGAGGGATCGAACCATTGTTTTGTTGTATGAGCTTATAAAACACAGATAAGTGTTTTTTCTTCATGTTGTGAGTGGAGCAAGTCGTTTCATATGTCATGAGTGATTGGGTTAGCCTAAATTGGTGCATGGCAGATTGTTGTGTGGTCGGGAACAGGTCTGAGAGAGGTTTGACTCTGCTGTCGATGAGTATTGTCACTAGCTGTAGATAGGGCTTGGTGAGGCATCCTGGAGGGAACAGCGGGTTGAGCACCAATTGGTAAAGAGGGGATAGGTGTGGGGAGATATGTACGGATTTCCTGATCTGGTTCCAGAGCCGTAGAGTGGGTGAAATGGTTGTATGTGTATGGTGAAGGGGGTCTAGGTATAGGCATCTGGACTTGCCAGGGAATTGTGTTACGTGGGGCTTGAAAGAGCCGTTCTAGTTGAACCCATTGTTTCCGGGGTTGGGGTGCCAATCATTCATAGATTCTCTTTAGAATAATGGCCTTATGATATAATTCTACGTCAGGGAGAGTTATGTGACATGTTAGAGCCGTGCAGAGGATCCTAAAGAGTTTGTGGGCTCTTATGTACGAGGTGAAGAGTCGTTTTGCAGAGGAGAAGAAAGTTGCTAGGAGGGCAAATAGTAAAGTTTGCAGGAGGTACAGTAGTTTGGATAGGACATTAATTTTCAATATGTGAACCCTACTGAGCCACCCAAAACAGGGTTTGTTCCATGCCTTGAGTTCCATAGTTATGGATTTTTAGCAAGGGTGGGAAATTTAGTTTGTAGGGCTTGTCAAGCGTGTGGGGTAAGTGGGGTCTTTTCCTGGTTTGGGTATGAGGGCGATGTGTGCCTCAAGTGCTGCGACCGAGAGCAAGGTGGACTGTGTGAGAGAGTTAAACGCAGTCACAAATTGCTGGGAAAGTACGGACACGTATGTCTGATAATATTTGGCTGAGAAGCCGTCTGGACCGGAGCTTTTGCCCAGTGGCAAGTTTTTGCCGCTACAGTGAACAATGTGATAGGGGAGTCAAATGATTGTTGGATGTTAGGTGGGATCGTTTGTGTGATTCGTGTGGAGAGGAATTGTTCAATCTCTGCACTAGAGGGTGGTACCTGGCGTAAGTTATAGAGATTTGAGTAGTAGTCATGAAAGGCATTTGATATTTCTTGGTGGAGGTGTGATGGTTCTTCCGAAGGCTGTTTGATCTTGGTAATAAATGTGGTTTGTCTGTCTCTCTGTAGCACCCTGGCCAGCAAGCAGCCACATTTCCTCCTTGTGTGTAGTCGGAGTGTTTTGTTAGCATAAATTTATGCTTTATTTGGGTATTTAGTAACAGTTGCATTGTGGATCTCTTGTCCACCAGTTGTTTGTAGATATCAAGATTAGCATTGTGCTCTTGGGCCCTAAGTTCTTGTGTAAGGGAGGTTATCTGCACTTCCCTGAGTTTTTTGTGTTGAGATGATCAGGGGCGGACTGACCACTTCCGCACATCGGTCATGTACCGAGGGCCCGAGACAGTCAGGGGCCCGGCCGCACAGCCATGCTCCAGCTGGAGAGACCAGAGATCTCTCCAACTGGAATGAAAAAATAATAAAATAAAACTATTTAATTGATCGGTTGTGGGGAGCAGGGCCCCACAACCTATCGCTCTGCAAGTCACCCTCCCCCTCAAATGAGACCCGGCAGCTTCACCAGCTCTCTCTCTGCCAAGTCTCCTTCGTGTCCCACACGGTGCTCTGTGTGATGGGAGAGGCGGGGCTAGGAAGTGACCTCACTTCCTGTTTACTCCTCTCACACAGAGCCCGATCAGCAGGGGAAGGAGCAGCAGCCTGTGAGACCAGAGGGAGCAGAGAGAAAGGTAGGCACTAGTCACGCCCCCTCACTGTGTCACTAGTCACCCCCCCACTGTGTCACTAGTCACCCCCCCTCACTGTGTCACTAGTCACCCCCTCCCTCACTGTGTCACTAGTCACCCCACCCACTGTGTCACTAGTCACCCCCCACTGTGTCACTAGTCACCCCCTCCCTCACCGTGTCACTAGTCACCACCTCACTGTGTCACTAGTCACCCCCTCACTGTGTCACTAGTCACCCCCTCACTGTGTCACTAGTCACCCCTCACTGTGTCACTAGTCACCCTCTCCTCCCTGTGTCACCCCTCCCTCACTGTGCCACTAGTCACCCTCCCGCACTGTGTCACTAGTCACCCCCTCACTGTGTCACTAGTCACCCCTCACTGTGTCACTAGTCACCCCCTCCTCCCTGTATCACCCCTCCCCCACTGTGCCACTAGTCACCCTCCCACTGTGTCACTAGTCACCCCCACTGTGTCACTAGTCACCCCCCCGTGTCACTTGTCATAGTCACCCCCACTGTGTCCTAGTCACCCCCACTGTGTCACTAGTCACCCCTCACTGTGTGTCACTAGTCACCCCTCACTGTGTCACTAGTCACCCTCCCTCCCTCGGTTACTAGTCACCCCCTCCCTCACTCTGTCACTAGTCACCCCTCTCTCTGTCACCAGTCCCCTCCCTAACTCTGTCATCACCCCTCCTCCCTCTGTCACTATTTCACCCCCTCCCTCCCTCTGTAACTGTATCACCCCACCCTCTGTCACTATTCACCCCTCCCTCCCTCTGTCACTAGTCTCCCTCTGTCACTAGTGACCCCCTCCCTCTGTCACTAGTCACGTCCTCCCTCTGTCATTGTGTCACTGTGTCACCCCCTTCCTCTGTCACTAGTCACCCCCTCCTTCCCTCTGTCACTAGTCACTCCCTCCCTAACTCTGTCACTGTGTCACCCCCTATGTCACTAGTCACCCCTTCCCTCACTCACTGTCACCCCTTCCCTCCCTCACTTTGTCGCTAGTCACCCCTTCCCTCCCTTACTCTGTCGCTATTCACCCCCTCCCTCACTCTGTCACTAGTCACCCCCCCCTGTCACTGGTCATCTCCTTCCTCATTCTGTCACTAGTCACCCCCTCCCTCACTAGTCACCCCCCTCTGTCACTAGTCACCCCTCCCTCACTCTGTCACTAATCACCCCCACACTCTGTCACTAGTCACCCCCTCCCTCTCTCTGTTACTAGTCACACCCTCCCTCACTCTGTCAGTAGAGTGAGGGGGCGACTGGTGACAGAGTGAGGGAATGAAGGGGTGACTGGCAGAGTGAGGGAATGAAGGGGTGACTGGTGACAGAGTGAGGGGATGACTGGTGACAGAGTGATAGAGGGGATGACTGGTGACAGAGTGATAGAGGGGATGACTGGTGACAGAGTGAGTTAGGGGGTGACTAGTGACAGAGTGAGGGACAGAGGGGTGACTAGTGACAAAAGGAGGGAGGGAGTAGTGACAGGTGGTGACTAGTGACACTCACCACCTCCCTCACTCTGTCACTAGTCACCCCTTCCTTCCCTCACTCTGTCACTAGTCACCCCTTCCTTCCCTCACTCTGCCACTAGTTACCCCTTCCCTCCCTCACTTTGTTGCTAGTCACCCCTTCCCTCCCTTACTCTGTCGCTATTCACCCCCTCCCTCACTCTGTCACTAGTCACCCCCCCCTGTCACTGGTCATCTCCTCCCTCATTCTGTCACTAGTCACCCCCTCCCTCACTAGTCACCCCCCTCTGTCACTAGTCACCCCTCCCTCACTCTGTCACTAATCACCCCCACACTCTGTCACTAGTCACCCCCTCCCTCTCTCTGTTACTAGTCACACCCTCCCTCACTCTGTCAGTAGAGTGAGGGGGCGACTGGTGACAGAGTGAGGGAATGAAGGGGTGACTGGCAGAGTGAGGAATGAAGGGGTGACTGGTGACAGAAGGGGATGACTGGTGACAGAGTGATAGAGGGGATGACTGGTGACAGAGTGATAGAGGGGATGACTGGTGACAGAGTGAGTTAGGGGGTGACTAGTGACAGAGTGAGGGACAGAGGGGTGACTAGTGACAAAAGGAGGGAGGGAGTAGTGACAGGTGGTGACTAGTGACACTCACCACCTCCCTCACTCTGTCACTAGTCACCCCTTCCTTCCCTCACTCTGTCACTAGTCACCCCTTCCTTCCCTCACTCTGCCACTAGTCACCCCTTCCCTCACTCTGCCACTAGTCACCCCTTCCCTCACTCTATCACTAGTCACCCCCTCACTCTAGTGACAGTGTGAGGGAAGGTGTGACTAGTGACAGAGAGAGGGAGGGGGTGACTAGTGACAGAGTTAGGGAGGGGGTGACTTGGGACAGAGGGAGGGATGGGGTGACTAATGACAGTCACCACCTCCCTCACACTGCCACTGTGTCATACCCTCACTCTGTCACTAGTCACCCCTTCCTTCCCTCACTCTGCCACTAGTCACCCATTCCCTCACTCTATCACTAGTCACCCCCTCACTCTAGTGACAGTGTGAGGGAAGGTGTGACTAGTGACAGAGAGAGGGAGGGGGTGACTAGTGACAGAGTTAGGGAGGGAAGGGGTGACTAGTGACAGAGTGAGGAAGGGGGTGACTAGTGACAGAAGGAGGGGGTGACTAGGGACAGAGTGAGGGATGGGGTGACTAATGACAGTCACCACCTCCCTCACTCTGCCACTGTGTCACCCCCTCACTCTGTCACCAGTCATCCCCTCACTCTGTCACTAGTCACCCCTTCCTTCCCTCACTCTGCCACTAGTCACCCATTCCCTCACTCTGTCACTAGTCACACCCTCTCCCTCCCTCTGTCACAAGTCACCCACTCCCTCACTCTGTCACCAGTCATTCCCCCCTCACTGTGTCTCCCCCTCACTCTGCCACCACTCAACCCCTCCCTCCCTCACTCTGCCACCTGTCACAACCTCCCACAATCTTCCACCTGTCACCCTCTCCCTCACACACTCTGTCACCTGTCACATATGCATTCACACAGACTCAAATACAAACATGCATTGATACACAGGTCTTCACAATATACACATCCAAAGGAATGCCGTATTATGAGAGTTATATTTAACATTTTTTTAACGCACATACATTTGGCCTTCAAAGAGCCTGGGATCTAATTTTGCCCCGGGGCCCCAAAGGCTCTCAGTCCGCCCCTGGAGATGATAATGCAATGAGATGTCCCCTGATTACTGCCTTATGCGCTTCCCAGGTTATTGTTGGAGAATTGAGTTCTCGGTGAAATAATGGGTTAAAGAACTGGACACCGGAGAGATGATCTCTGGTTAGTTGAGTAATAGATCGTTAATCTTCCATTGGAAGACCTTGGGTAAGATGGTGGGAATTTAAATGGCAAGAGACGGGGGTGCATGGCCAGACCAGGTGATGGATCCATATTCACAGGACTGGATTAGGTGGAGGAACCTGTGCGAGATGAAAAGCATGTCTAATCAGGAGTATGTATTGGTGACTGCTAAAAAGAAGGAATAACCCCTGGAGTGGGGGTGGAGGATTCGCCAACTGTCAAAGAGTTGCAATGTAGAAAAAAGCTAGGGTCGCACTCAGCCACAATATTCCAATCCAGGGTGCTAATTATACAATTTTGAGTTAAATGGTATATTGATTTGAAAGATCTTTGTATGTTTAACTGTTGATGTGGTGCCTTGTAAAACCTGGACTGCTTGTATGTCTTCTGACTATTTTCTTCAGCCATTTACTGATTTATTTCCTACCATGTTTTTATATGTTTGGTATACCAATTTGATATATTGATTGTATTATTTTGAACACATGCTTTGTAATGAAATGTTCAATTGTTTTATTGATTGTTTAACTGATTGGTTGTGTGTATATAAATGCATTTTCTTCACTGTGGTGTATGCTTGATAAAGACCGAGTTAGGTCGAAACGTTGCAAATAAATCTGCCTGGAAACTTTCACAGTGAGTGCCTGAGGCTTTTCTTTTTATAAAGAGTTGCAGTGCGTCTGGGAGTTTAGTCATATGTTGTCTGGCCGATAATTGGTATCTGGAGGAATTGAACTTGGTGTCTAAGTCTGAGCTAAGAGACATATTAAGATCACCCCCCATAATGATGATTCCCTCCGTAAACCTCTCTATGGCCCAAATGGCATTTTCTAAGAGAGTGATTTTGTCTTTTATTGGTAAGGTCCAAGTTGACAAACAGGACAGCGGTTTGGCCAATGTGGCCCTTTACCATCAATAGTCTACCGTTGCTCTCTGTGTGATGTGATTGGCATGTGAATGGTGTACGTGCAGAGATGAGGATGGCTGCACCTCTCGTCTTTGCTCCTTCATAGTTACTAAAGTAGGGTGGGGTATACGTTGCCTCTAAAATGAGTCTCCTTCTTGGAGAAAGGCAATGTCCGCCCGTAACTTGTGTAGCTCGTTGAGTGTCAAGGAGCAGTTGGACGGGGAATTAAGGACCTAACATTGAAGGTAATTATCCAGAGGGAAGCCATATGTGTAGGTGAAGTGATACCGTGAGGTGACTTATCTAAATCCCTAGTTTGCCTAGGTGATACAAGGTGATGGTTCAGTCAATGTGTAGTCAGATAAAGAATAAAAAAAACTATTTTAATAACGTAACTATGTCCGAAGTAGCTGAGTGAGGTATTGGGCGATAAAATTACTGAATGGGGATACAATTTGCACTGCAGGGGAGGCTATGCTCAGATAAGGATGGGGGAGAATTTAAAATTACAAAACTTCTTGAACGCAATGTTGTGGTTCAGGTGGCAATCTATATACCATTATATTCGTATATATGAAGGGCACAGGGTATGGGTCTGCACCCTAGGATGAAAGGAGGAGGGACCTGTTGTCTAAACATTTGTCCAAACAATTGGGGACATTATAGAAATATAGCCAGATAGCTGACCCCAATGCTCTGGGGCGTCATGATATTAGAGAATAGGTGTCATCTCATTAAGTTACTTGTACATCGTATTGACATCGTAGTAGATTATTTTATGCTTGCGTCCCTTAAGTTAAGACATATGCATTTACTCATTTAGCAGAACAAGTTAGGGCGTGGAGAGGGAGGGGATGCTCCTTCTGATCCGGCACGGGGGGTAGGGACAACACAGAGGATCGCAAACTTTGCAGCATTAAATCGGTGTCATGAAGGTACTGTCCAAGGTAACCTTGTATATAAATAAAGCTGCCGGCTACCCTCAACCCCCCCGCACCCGACCCCCAAAACCCCATTTCCCCCCATCCTGCCCATCACCATATAGAGAGTGTGCAAGGAACGGTAGTATAGAGGGGGGGAGCAGTAAGTAAGGGGAAGGCAAAGTGAGCACGGCAGTACAGAGAGGGCCCACCGGGAAGAGTGAAGGGGAAGGCCGAGTGCATACTGTATCCATCAAATATCATATCCACCATCCCGGTCAACGCCACACATGTCCCACCCCATATACATGTTAGATCCCGTGATCACCCATAGCCTGGACAGCTGGAGGATTGAGAGAGATGTGGCCCCAAGGCTCTGTCCCTGGTGCATTACCTTCGTAGGTATGCGTTAGTACCTTTCCACTGGGAGACAAGGTGCAACAACCCAGCATTTGCTCCATTAGAGCCAACGTGGAAGTTTGGATCAGCAGCCCTGGCTGTGGAGAGCACCAGGGCATCTCTTTCCCTTTGTATTTATCTTATGTGTCTTTGAAAGCAGCAATTTGGTACCAAAACAGAAATGTTAAAGTGCAATCAAAGGCCAAATTAGGTAACTATCATTCTTGTCTGGAAACTATTTCTCACTGTCTGTATTTAAAAGTTTAAGAATCAGAATTGGAAGAAGCAACAAATCTACTGCTATTTAGTTTGGAAGCAAGGAGTGCATTTTCCAACAATCATTGATATTTCCATGATTCATTCATGCATGGTTTAGCTATATGTAATTAGATCATTGTATGAAAAGTAATAATATACTAATTGAAGTGAGTCAAATAGGTTTATACTATTATAAAGGCAAATCAACTAAAATATTAGTATCTATTTTTATTGACACAGACATACAATTGCTCTAAGGCAGTGGTTCCCAATCTAGTCCTCAAGTACCTCCTAACAGTACAGGATTTAGGGATCATCCAATTGTGTCTAAGGTGGTTTTAGAAAAAGAAAAAAAACACTTTAAAAACAACTGTGTAATCCGCTGAATGGGAGCCCTCTGAGCACATCGCTCAATACCTAGCTCTCAGAGTACGTAAATCCCTCTCCCAGGAGAGTCGTAATAAGCTGAGAGCAGAATGCCCCCGACCTATCATACCAGATGCAGTGGCAAAAACCCCTGAAGTCGACCCAAACATTGTCCAGTTTTTGGCTAAGACAGGTTGGACTGCTAAGGGGCATCCTGGACTGCTAAGGGGCACTTAAGGACTGGGTTGGGAACCCCTGCTCTAAGGCACATTAGCACATTCAAGGGTAATCTAATGTACCTCCAAACTGCCTTAAAGGAACACTATAGTGTTAGGAATATAAATATGTATTAATAAAACTAGACTCGGACTACCTGTTTAGGTGGCCAATCACTGCAGAATGGAGCTAAACTGTAGCTTTACTTGCCTTTTCTCCATTTCTGCAGCTTGCCCCTCCTCCATGGCAGAGATGAACAAATTCTTTGGGAGGCTATTGAGCAAGCGTAGCATAACACTACGCTGCGCCAATCAGCACCTCCTCATAGAGATGCATCGAATCAATGCATCTATATGGGGAGCGTGGAGATGCTGAACGTAGGTACTGCACACTGTATCTATAACTGCAACTAAGTAGGATGCTTCCTCTTTAACCCCTTAGTGACCAGACCGCTTTTCAATTTTCTTACCATTTGGGACCAGGTCTGTTTTCACATTTCTGCGGTGTTTGTGTTTAGCTGTAATTTTATTAAAGACACGGAGGCAAGTATTATGCTTCTCTTTCTTTAAATTTCCCTCAGCAGCGAAGAGAAAAAATGTATGTAAAAGAGAAAACAACATAACATTAGCATATTCAACAGTGCTACTAATCAGTATCCACCCACTTCAGTTTATAAGGTGTAGCACTCTCTTCCTCTTCCTCTTTCTTCGCTGCTCCCTCAGACCAGCTAAGTAAATTATTCTCCTCTTGCTTTGTGTTATAATTACTGTGGGACTGTATATGTTATCCCTATTCACTTAGGGGCTTATGTTTTGCTCCCACTAGTTTGCTTTCACTATTATCAGGAGTCATAGATAGTAATAACTCTAATTTATATATTTTATTGTGTTACTTGTGTATTTATTGCGTTACTGTGTTTGTGTCTCTTGGGTCCTGTGGTGTTCTGCAGGTCTGCCTTATCTGGCAATTCAGGGTCTTTTCCGCCTCTGGGTGGGTACTCTGCTCCCTGGCCCTTCTCCCGACCAGGAACCGTTACGAGGTTTCCCTTCCCCACCTCGCCCCGTTCTCGGCTCCCTTTCACGGTACCTGCTGGCTCCCACACGGCGGTTAGTTTTACTTTCGTTTTCGGCACACGACGTTCGCGGCGGCCATCTTTTTTGTTTTCTGTCGCCGCCCTGTGCCGGCGACCATTTTATCACTCGTGCTGCAGATTTAATCGGTTCTTGATGCTGCACACAACGCTGCTCCACAGAAATCACCCAGGACCCGGGTATTTTTCTGTATATTACTACTTACCTCCTGATTAACCCTACCCTTTGCTTGAATTAAGCAATCCTGCACCTTTGTACTCTGTTTATTTATTTATTTTCTTTCTTGCACTCACTTACTGTAAGTCATGCAGTCAGCTGGAGAGGACCTACCTGGCCACCCCAATCCCTCTATGGGTGCCCTTGG